ACCTGTGCTTTTTATTGTGTTTTCTTTATGCTACCTCTGCTTTCTCTGAAGATAAAAAAAGACGCAACGGAATCACAGATCCTGTTAAACTGTCATTTTCTGGCTTCAAGTTATGAACAGAATGCTTGGTACATTTGTCGTTGATTTATATATTATGTTATTATATTATAAACTTAATTTTAATCCTCAGAAGAAATCGACTTTCGGATATAATATTTAAAATATTATTCATTTTAAAAAAGCATGATAAATGACAATTTTATCCAAACATTTTTATAAGTAAACACAGTTACATAAATAGTATAGTTTGATATAAAATAAATTTCTGATTTTATTCCGTTTTTTGAAGATACGTGTAATATGAAACGTTTATCTGTTTAAATTCGTTTTCAGAAAAACGTTTACTTATAAGTAAACGTTTACACGTACAATTGGTATATCCGTTTATTAGAAACGTTTTTCCTAATATACGTATTTTAAATCAGGGCTTGGTATTATATATTTAAACGAGAATACATTTACACGTATATTTAATATATCCATCTTGTTGAATATTTTAACGTTTTTTTTTATTTTAAAATTAATTTTCTTATAGTTTTATATTTTAAAAGCACGCGCTACGTGTGCCATTTACTCTTTTAATTATCACAGATATATATATATATATATATAAAGGCCTTGATTATTAAAATAATAATTTATGCCAATTTATATATAAAAATATACATAAATTAATACGTTAATGACAGCCCGTAATATAGACTTTAATTGAATCAACAGCATTTTTTCTTAGTGTATGTGTAGTATATGTAGATATATATTATAATAAATAGAAATCTTTTTTTCGTAAGCCCACGTACTTAGCTATATAACCCGTCTGAAGTTTGGGTGAACCCCCCATTTGATTATTTCTATAGCTCCTCGTTTGTACATTTCGAATCTTCGTTTGTATACTTCTAGTAAAAAATTTATTTAAAAAATAATTTTGGGTGGGGGCTAATTTCACACTAGTTTCTCAAACTCGAGCAAATTGGATTGAAAAGATCTTAGGTCCGGTTGCACCAACGTTACTTTGACTTTAAGCAAGACTTAAATCTTTGTCTGTCTCGTTTTAGAGCGAAAAAGAGAAAGAGACAGAGAGAGTTTTAAATCTCACTTAAAAACAAAGTAACGCTGGTGCAATAGGGTCTTAATCGATAGATTTTCATTGTTCCGAAGCAAGACAGTAAGTCAATTTTTCGTTTGCACACCTTTAGTTAAAAAGTTATTAATAAATGAGTGTTAGATGCTAAATTGAAAATTCATGCAACAAAAATTATTTTCGACTGAATGTTATTGACGATTATGGTTTCGACTTCGCTAAATAACAAGAATATTACTTTTTTAATACGTTTAAATCGACAGTAAATGGACGACGTCACATTTCGATAAATTTAAGTGTGGATTTAACATGTTTTTTTTAAGGAATGTAATCATAGTTTAATTGAGAAACTTACATACTATTGGCATTAGCATTACACAAAACGTGGAGGTTAAAAGAATAACGTTTCTCATTGGATTCTCACAGAACTAGTGCGCATTCAGTGCACTTTAAAGCAATTGTACAAGTCGACATAAAGATTTGCTCGTATAATTAGGATATTGGTTTATTATAAATCCTTGTCTGAATACGCTGTTTTAATGTTATTTTATATACACATTTTTTACATTTTTATTACATTCAAATGTCATTTTTATCAAAAAGAATTTTTAATTTTTTCAACCCGTTACACTAGGAATACTCCTTAATAAAAGGATAAACGTTTATAAAAAAAAACGTGAAAATATTCGAGATATTTTTTGTAGATAGATGTGCTAAATATACGTATTCTCATTTAAACGTATAATAGCGAGCTATACTAAAAACACGTATATTCGGAAAAACGTTTCTAATAAACGAATATGCTATTATAATTATACGTATAAATATGTATTTTTGTTTAAACGTATAATAGTATGCGTTTAAATGAGAATAAGCAAGTATGTAAAAGCTAATGTAAAATAAAATTCGTTTACACAGTTTATTTTTTTTTGTAAGATATAATTTAATTCTCTACAAAAAATTTTTTGTTTGAGTACTTTGTTAGCAAACGCATACTGATTTGTAAAAATATATAAAATAATTCTAATTTCAGAGATTTTTAGGAACTAACTTTTTAAAGAAGAATTTTTTTATCCATATTTATTGGGAATTTTTTCTTTAAAATTAAATTTTCTACAAAATTTGAAAGTTGGCTGGAATTATTGGGGTTTTTATATATGTAAAAGGTAGTATAAAAGAAGGGCAACGAGCCAATAAACGCAAATAAAAAATTATAATTCAGATAAGAAAACTTAATACAAAAACAATTAAAATACAATAAAATGAAACAAACGTTTCAACTCCAATTGAGTCATTTTCAATGCCATCATACAATAATATAAATGTCGTTCTAAATTAAAAATTAATACATAATCTTACAAAATTCTTAAAATTAACAAATAATTCTTTCCTCTTTCGGTGTAATACGCTGTGAGTCATTTTTATCAAGAATTAACAAAGTCATAAGAAAGTTCTGGAAAAGTAACCGTATACAAAAAGAATTAATATTAATCATATAAAAATTAAAAATATGATGATATACCTTAGTAAATCTGTTAAAAGTCCCATAATACACAACGAGAAAAAAATGTAAAATGTGGTTCATTTTGTGGTACAGTAAAATAGTCTTATTAATTTAATAGGTTAGTGATTACTACCGCGCAGTAGTCCACAAGCGGTTGGTTTACCCGGGCTCCATATCTGCATACCGTTCAGTTTGTCGCAGATGAAACATGCCCACCCCTCTACCCACGGAGTCAACTACCGTTCACAATTGCTCGTCGTTTTTAACCGTAAGGCTTGCACCGAATGATAAACAGTCACGGCCGCTACCAGGAGTGGAGATTTTGAACTTATATTGATATCAGAAACATGTTCATGCAATCTGGTCTTTAATTGTCTTTTAGTTTGGCCAACATAACTGGCATCACAATCATCACAGGATATTCTATAAACCACATTTTGACTCTGAACGTGTTCCAAATCATCCTTTCCTCTCCTTATAAAACTTCTCAATTGTGTTAGGAATAGTAAAAGCCAATTTACAATTAAGCATATTAACAACAGGTATAAATCTTTCGGATATCGTATTAACATATGGAATCGTAAAGAACCTTCCCCCAGTGTCCTTGTTCTTATTTAAATTATTAAACTTATTAATGTGATATTTTATTCTATTATGAATGGTCGAAAAAATAAAACTTAATGGATATCCATTCTGTAAAAAAACCTTAATAGCGTCAATCAAATTATTTTGTTGGAATTTCGGATGACACAAACAAAATATCTTATCCACGACTCCATAAATCACACCTCTTTTATTTTATATCATCATATATCATCATATTTTTCATTTTTATATGATTAATATTAATTCTTTTTGTATACGGTTACTTTTCCAGAACTTTCTTATGACTTTGTTAATTCTTGATAAAAATGACTCACAGCGTATTACACCGAAAGAGGAAAGAATTATTTGTTAATTTTAAAAATTTTGTAAGATTATGTATTAATTTTTAATTTAGAACGACATTTATATTATTGTATGATGGCATTGAAAATGACTCAATTGGAGTTGAAACGTTTGTTTCATTTTATTGTATTTTAATTGTTTTTGTATTAAGTTTTCTTATCTGAATTATAATTTTTTATTTGCGTCATTGACTCGTTGCCCTTCTTTTATACTACCTTTTGCTTATTACTACAGAGCCTTTTATATTACTTTTAATTTTATATATGTATATTATAATAGTTGAATATCGAGAAAACATTAAATAAGTTGTGGAGGAAAAAGTAGGATGTATATGTCACTGCCTCTGTAAGACTTAAATAAATTACACTCGTTTCACAGTTTTATAGCATCATTTTATACTTTTATAAAAGAAGAAATATGATGATTCAGTACGATTTCAACCAACCACAAAAGAGAGCAAACGCAAGATGTAAATGAAATATTACAAGTGATTTAGTCTCTCAATTTTCTCTTCACAAAACTTTCGAAATTCAAGAAAATGTACGAGAGCGCGAGAGTAAGAGAATATTTTGCGCGCGCGCGAACAGATGATTTATTGTATAATTGCGAAATGTAGAATTTATATATCTTGCATCAGTCTTGATATTGAAATTATTTAAATTTACGATTGGGACTTCCGAAAGACAATATTTATCGTTTAATTGACGAAACAATAATAAAAATTCCAGCAGAGATGACAAATCTTTCAAACGTGCCGTGTTTCCGCGTGCAATTGCGTATCATACAATTGATGACGTGTTTAAGTAAACCTCTTATTAGTTCGCACCTAACATAGTCGAACAATTACGTATCTTTGTTAGGTACCTATGTATTGTTTGACACATTTACTAATGCAGAGTGATTAGAACGCTTGAAATACTGAGCATTTTATACATACACGAATACTTGCATGTGTCATCCAGGAAACGCGTTGCATACTTACCTATCTTTCCATCAGCAATTCGCCCGTACATATCGACATGCTGCACGTTCCGCTCGTATCAGACAATTTTACAACGCGATATAGACGTGACAAACTGCCATTCTTTCTATAAGGCAGCAGAATTAATGCCAGACACATAAAAACCAGACACATGCTTTTCATTTTCCTCTATCAAAGATTAAATTTTTTCGAAGTGAAATTTAATTTATGTTCACTACACCTTTTTACATTTACTGTGCAATTATTTATTATATTTATGCTGACATTATATTTAAATCCTTGTAATATTTCGAGTAAAATAGTTTTCGACATTTAAGCTATCGCAGCACAAAGATATCTTATCATTTTTGACTAACATTGTACAATAATGTACAATATGTATAATGCTTCTTCGGAAAATACCTTTTTAAAATTCTCTCAGTTCTGAAATTCGAGCGATCGAAAAGGTTGTTGACGAGTTTTCATTCAAATGACAAATGCGTTGTATATTCGACATAGAGGAATAGACCGTTGCGTCCTTCGCATTCTTTGCAGATTTTTTATCTCCCTGTAAACGACATTCCTGGCCATAACTTCAACAGTAACCTTTGAAAGGTGAAATCGCGTAACTCGAGGAGTAACTTGTGAAAGTTTTATGCATTCTTTTTTTTGTAAACTCTCGTAACCACAGATCAGTGAAAGTAGTTTGTCGTCGTTTGTTGTCCTTGGACAACAGGTTCAACTCGTTCTTCAGGTAATTCTCCTATAATTCAATATTGATTTAATTTTGCATGGTCAAGGAAAATATTGGGAAAATGTTTTGAACTTAAAACAATCGCTGCTAATTACGTGATCAACATACGAAATTACACTGTTGTTGAATAATTGGTGTTAAATTTAATACTCATTTTTTATCTCATCCTAGGTAGAACACATCGTCTGCATTAGAACATAGCCTGCAAAGGTAATAAAATAAAACAGAAAAATTTATAAAAACAATGAAATTCACAAAAGGAATAATATTCAAACTTTAAACTTTCTAAGTTTTTTTAAAAATTGTATAAAGTTATTTTATATTTCTGTTGCATCCAATTTCTCAATTAACCTTATGTCCGAGAAAACCACATTTGTAAAGAAATGTAAATGAAAAGAATATATATACGCGTAACAGAATTATAATTATGTTTCTTTTTCCACATCCAACTAAAGATTACACACAGATTTTATAAAGACAGGATTAATTCAACAATATGTTATCTAATTGCTAGAATCAATAAAGTGTTGATTATAAAGAGGAATTGTTGTTTTTGAAGCTTCCTTTTTTAAAGTTACGTTTTACTTGAATACTTTGAATAAATATTAATACTTATAAAACAAATCATAATATTTGCATTAATAAATATTTTCAAAAAATATATCCACAATTTTGAAAAAATGAAAATATAAATACATATTATTTTAAAGTAAAAATTTTGAATAACTACAATTATAAATTTTTGTATTCATCGAGTATAGTAATTATCATGTCGTTCCACACACTTTTGGTGATGATTTTGTAACCAATTTTTGGTAATCATTTTTAAATAAATTTTAATTAAAAAATTTTATCATATGTGTGTGTGTGTGTGTGTGTGTTTGTGTGTCAAAAATTCATCACGAAATCATTGTCAAAAATGTATCGAATAACATCATGATTTTTAAAATGATTTCAACTTGATGTCATTTTATTTTTTAAATTTTTTGGAGTGAAATCTCACATTAAAAGAGTAAAAATACTGTCACTATTGAAAAAGATTGAAAATATTAGGTGAGGGAAACAGTTTTTTTGTACTTACAACAATTTTTTTGCAAAAGTTTTTCATTTGTTGCGAAATTTTCATTACAATTATATTATTTGTTAAAGTAAAGTTTTAGCTTTAAGAATCTGTTTTTTAAATTGCGGTATGATAACTTTTATCATCGGAGCATTTTATGAACAATCAAAATTAGAGCAAATCAAAGAATGCTCTTTTACTTAACTCGCGAATAACTTGGAAACAAAAAATAATAGGAACATTTTTAAAGAATGATTTTGTTTCACAAGAGGTAGTCGAAAATTTTTCTAAATTTTTTTTGGGCACGTGAAAGACCCCCAAAGTGAAAAGAAAATTTTTCATCTTTTTCAGCTCGTAATTTTTTTAATGTAAAAATTACCAAACTCACAGAAACCGAAAAAATATAGTAACGAAAAAATATATAATAGTTTCGAAAATAGGGATTTCAAATTTTAAAACCTTTTTTTTTTTAATTTGAATTTCGTCTATTTTTGACGAAGATATTGTATATACAATTTTGAATTAAAAAATATGAAGAAACTTTTTCCCCAGCCATATTTACATTCTTAAATAAGAGTGACAGATTTTCACTCTTTGGAGTGAGATTCATTTTACAGGGAAAAAAATCTCACTTCTTTAGGCGAGTAAATCTCATTCCAAAAGTGTAAAATCTCACTAAAGAAAAAGATTGAAATTCTACTACTCTTATTCAAGAGTGCAAATATTTTTACTCTTTTTCAATAGTGGTAATATTATTTCTACTTTTTTTTAGTGAGATTTTACTTCAAGAAATTTAAAGAGTAAGTAATCTTATTATTATTCTGTGTTCTACCTAGGGGAAGTCCCAAACTATACATCTAAATTTTTGTTTAACATAAGGTAAATATGTTAGAAAGTAACACAAAAATTATTTAAAAATTAACTTAAAAAGTAAAATTTTTACACGATTTGAAAACAAATTGTAGAAGCATATTCTATACTAAAAATTAAATTAACATTTATAGATACATACATTTGTTTTTTATTCATTTATCTTAAAACTTATATATAAAAACTATTAATTTAGGTAACTCAAAATAGTTATAATCATATTAGGTGTTGGAATTAATTCGTAGCGTTTTACAAGTGATGGGAAGTACTTTCATTAATGTATTTTTTAATGCTCATGTGAAATAAATAACATTCTTTCATTAAAAACGCTACGAATTAATTCCAACACCTAATATTATATTAAATTAACGTTTACAGATATATTAAAAATTCAACGGAAAAATTTTAACAAGAATTTTATACATAGTTTACATAAATACAAAATGCAACACAGCCTTCCTTGCTATCTTCCCTGCGTCATTTCGAAATTGTATATTGCATTTGATAAAATTTACACTTAAAGATTTTTATCTCTAATAGAGATGATGACACGTGACGATGCGACGTATATCATGTTATTGTACTTAAAAACAGAATATTTTCTAACAAATAAAGAAACGTAGATAAAAGTCACTAATTGTTTGTTCTGGTCAATAACAAAAGTTGTAAACTTTCATAGAACGACGAAACGGCGCGACGAGTCATCTGTCCGAAAAATATCGAGTTACGAGCATATCTGTCATTTTGTTCTTTGCTTTCAGTCCAAACGGGTAAGGGATTTACAAAACTGAATGGATACTTTGGCACAGTCGCTACTAGGAACTCGTGGTTTATCTGCGTTATGGCTTCTACTGTTACTATCCCCTGCCATTCTTGCTTCATACAGCATTGGCGTTGGAAGAGCTGACAGCACAGGACCGACCGCGGACATTGTCTTCGTTAGTATGCTACATTGTATGCTTCGAGATAGAAAATCCTAAGAAAATGTACACTAAATCATTATTTTTAGTAATGATGCGAGAAAAATTTATTTTGATGAAAAATTTGTTATACACTAAAGAGAGAAAATCACGAAGAGCTCTTCAAGTTTTTTATTTAAAAAATTATTAAAGAGATTACGAATTCATTATTCACGATAATTAAAGCCAGACTGATGAAATAATAAGAGTGAATAAAGGCTTTGAATAAATAGATTTAAATAGACATTATGTGCAATTTTAGATGGGATACGCAAAAATGGAACAGAAAGGAAATGGTCTCCATCTTAGAACGTTTGCCAGAGCATTCATAATTGACGATGGCACGGAAAGGTTCGTGTTCGTCAGCGTAGATAATGCGATGATAGGCAACGACATTCGACAAGAGGTAACATACATTCATTCTTAGTTCTTCAATGCCTCTCGGTATTATAATGATTATATAATATAGTGATTTCTTTAAAAAAAAAATTCTTTTTATTCTTGAAGCTAATCTAATAATCTACTTTATTGATTTAAACTCTTTCCTACTATAAATAAGATTACAATAATAAGAATCGCTATTTAACTGTAATCCGCAATTGACTAGCTTTAAACTTTTTATCTCATAAATTGCTACTCGGAACGTAAAATGGTTAATATTTTCATAACTAATTTTTTTTACAACTTTTTCAAATCTAATTTTTTTGTCATGGTATTTCGCGGATTTTGAGACGTTCTGTATATTCTGTTATATTTTGTTCGAGTATAATAAAATTCTGAATTTCTATAAAAAAAACATTCATCTATTTACTATCGAATTTCAAAATTAGCTAAAAAAATATAGATATTTATTTGTATTTGAAATTCTTTACCGTATCTTCGATCATATAATGATAAATTCATTCAACTCGATTCGTTTTTGAAATCGTGAAATTTGTCGCAAAATACGATTATTATCACGTGAGATTCATTGCAGTTCTTCCCACAGGTATTACGAAAATTGAAGACCCAATTTGGCGACATGTACACGGAGAACAACGTGATGATTAGTAGCACGCATACACACTCAGCTCCTGGTGGTTTCATGCTAGACATGCTTTTCGATTTGACCACATTTGGCTTCATCAGAGAATCATTTGACGCTGTCGTCAATGGCATAACGAATGTGAGTAGACGCGTAAATATAATTACACGGCATTGCACTACTGTAAATGATTCTCTTGATATTCAAAGATAATAACCGATATAACGATGGATATTTTGACATTACAGAGCATCCAGCGTGCCCATAATGCTGTAGTGCCCGGAAGGATTTTCATTATTCACGGAAAAGTTTTGGACGCTAACATTAATAGAAGTCCACAAGCGTATCTTAATAATCCGAAATCGGAAAGAGAAAAGTAAGTACCTATAATAAATAAGTAATGAAAGTAGTGTAAATAATATTAATTCTAGTAATAGAATATTAATTCTTTCTCAATATTTTTAAAGAATATCATTAATTTTATTAAAAAATCAAACTCTTTATTTTAGAGAAAAATAAAGAAAATTGATCAAAATTTTTTACATTTCAAATTTCAATAGAGCATTAATAATTAGGGCATTAGTATTACGAAGGCGATGATAATACTAATTGTGTGATAAAAAAATTTTTTAACACTTCTAACTGTTTTAATGTATTTTCGAATGCTAAACACGAATTCGTTGTCTACATTGGACCACATCATAATTTTGAAAAAAATGATTTTAAATCATTTACTTTATCTTAATATTACTAAATTAATTAATTATATGAAAAGTAAGCGCTCTTATACATATAATATACTCACACAAAATAAAAAAACAATGAAATTGATACGGTACAATATGGCTATTTTTAAATTGTTGTGTCTCGAAAATGAATACCGAAACAAAATACATTTTAAAGTTAAAAGTTAATACTTTCGTGTGGCATTAAGAATTTTAGAACAAAATTTGCCGATGTATTGAAATGTCATAAAGATTTTCAAAATTGTAATTTTTTATTTCTTGACTCTTCTACTTCTTCGATTCCATTTCTATTATTAATTATAACGTGATGAATCAATTTAATGAACGAAATTGTATTTAGCACTTAAGGGGATTCTAAAGTGCATTATCGATTAAATGCAATAATTTTTGTATAACAATTATTTTTTTCCTCGTTTATAAATTTGAAAATCATTTTCTAGAATTGAAGCATATGCATTAATACGTGTCTTTGAGATGGAGTTTATGTCGGAGAACGAAAAAAAAAGTTTAAATTGAGACTTTACCATTTCTTAATCGAATATGGCTTTAAAAAACTGTCAATATCGTAATAATATTTGCTTGATATAAAAGCTTTGCCGTCTATACTTACGAAATGGTGGTCCACAGACACGTAGTTCGCATGAACATACAACGTCGAAGTTCTTGAAATTAGATTTAGACACTTTATCGCGACGAATTTATTATACGAAAATTGACACGAACGTACGACTGCGTGTATCATAATTTGCGTGACATATTGGTGTGGTATATAAAGATATGTCAATGTGTCGTGTTAAAACAGTGACCTCTGGTGACTTCGTCCAAGTTCGGGCTTCACTTTAGGATCTCCTTAAAAATTACGAAAAACGATTAGTTTTTTATTCAGAAAATGATGTCAAGATGTTAATTAACAAACTAATATAATCATTTGATCAGCATAATTATTTTAAATTTATTCTCTATGCGCGTGATCGTGCGCGAGAGGTGATTATTTTTAATACATATGAGAAAGATTATTTTTAATACATTATCTATTATTTATAAAACGCATGCTTGACATAGTATTTTTCAACACTATATAGAGTGTCCTATTTTAATTGCCTTAGACAAATATCTTGGAAAATATGTAAGATATGAAAAAATTTTTCAGATGAAATAGTTTTGAAGGAGACGTAGTTTAGTCGTAGTAGCGTTGCTTTTTTTTCTAGATGGAAGCGTCCTTTAATTATGTCCCTCTCGAAATTATTTCACTTTTATTTGAAACAATTTTTTCGTATCTTATGTATTTTTCAAGATATTTGCTTGAGGCATAAAATGAAACTCTATATAGTGCAGCCTTATACTATACAAATGCAATGTTCTCTCAAATAACGCGGTTGATTAATTCATCTTGCAATTGCTTAAACGTAAGGGGTAATGCTATAGAATGCATTCGGTACTGAATATTTGGTGCCGAGGTTTATTAATTCCCGGAATACGTACAGCGATCGTATATTGATCGTGTTATATGTATATTGCATATAACACGATGTACGACACATGCCATGTGTTTGTAAGCCTAAATAAGCGTATTCATTCTCGGAAATTCATGAAATACATCTACTTGTAACTTAAATCGATTTTACAGTACATTGAAATTTAAAATTGATGACGACAGCATATTATATTATATATATTTATTATATATATTATATTATATATATTTGTCGTCAACTGCATCCTTTCGTGGAAGGAAGTAACATGTATTTGCACAAAATTAATATTTTTTTTCTTTATTTCTAGATACAAGTACGACGTAGACAAGACACTAACACAAATGCAATTTATCGGTGCCGATGATAAGCCTTTAGGCGTTATAAATTGGTTTGCCGTGCATCCAACTAGCATGAACAATACGAACCGTTTGGTTTCTAGCGATAATGTGGGTTATGCTTCGATACTCTTTGAGAAAATGATGAATAATAACGCCATGGTCGGCAAAGTAAGTCCCTTAACAAATATACATTTATTATATTATGTATACAACGTGAGATTTGTAGTTTTCTATTTACAATGACTGCTCTATGTTTTGGTGTTTAAATTATAAAGGGCAAAATCGCGAATGAATCTGAAACATGAATAATTTCGATAAGCGAATCTGCCGCGTTAAAGCCTCAACTGTAAAATCATTTGAATGCACACGTCCCAAATTTAAATAAATTATTTCAATGCTCGCACTTGTAAAAATATTCATCGCGTGCAGACAGTAATTTCGTAAGCTGCAGAAGAGATTGCGTGTGTCCATTATTATTATTTTTCTTCTTTTTTAGGACGAATCTATTTATATATTCGAATCTACTTATAATCTATTTATATATTCTTATTATTTAATACTGTGCTTGCACTTTTTGCTTTTTTCTCTTCTTTTCTTTTTTTATTCGATTATCTTTAAGCACATACATGATACATGTATGTACATACATAGATATATCAAACAATGTTAGCTAAAAAGTTTCGAATGGCGTTTGACAAAATATAAACAACACAAATAGGCGAAGAAAATATTACTTGGTCAAAGCAAATATTTTTCGCGTATGAATTTTACAATTTCCAGTTTGTGCAAATTACACACTGAATATTTGTTTTGAAACACAATTCCAATTAAACTAAATACGTAATATTAAACTGACAAATTAAGCTGGCAAGCAATTTAATAAGACTAATATAAACGTACAAGAATTATCAAGAAAATGTATCTACGAATTAGTGCAGTTTAATTCATAAGCACATTACGAAATTACTTCGAATTAACTTCGCACATAGAGATGTATAACATTTTTTTAGAAGAGATGTACAACATTTTTTTTACAAGATTTTTAAACTACTTTATTCTTAGCATAGACTGTCAAGGTTTTCGACATTCAGTTGTGTACTTTATATTTATTTATTATAAAATAAGTTGTATATCATCACATAGCACGATGTTTTTTTTATATTATATTAGCCCCATGTATATTTATTTATTTATTTATTTACCGTTATAACAGTAGACGATTATATGCCGCCTCACATTTATCGCACATGTGCCTGAAAATAATTTTAAACTTTTAAACGTAAATATTTTTTAGTAAACCACGGGAATTAGTTTAATAACAATGTTTATTAAAAGACGAAATTAATTAAACGAAGAGTGATTTTTTTCCATACAATGAGAGAAAAAAAATTGCAATTGCCATAATTTAATTACTCGTATAATTTGTAGTCATTTTCAATGCCAATTATATATACATTTTATGTACAACTATAAATATAATTATTGTATTATTTCTATTTTTTCTCACATTATAGCAGTAATATAAAAATGAAGCTTCTAACCGTAATTATTTTATCATACAATAGCATAGTTAATATGAAATACTTTTTTTTCAATGTACATACACGTACACATATGCATATACATATGTCTGTAATATGTCAAATATGTCTGTAATACAAACATTATAATATTTTTCTTGGCATTTAGGGTCGATTCGTAGCAGCCTTCGCCTCGACTAATCTTGGCGATGTTTCACCAAATATACGTGGACCAAAGTGCGAATTCTCTGGACAAAACTGCTCCGACCAGTATACGTGTCCTGGAAAGAAAGAAATGTGCTTCGCCTCCGGTCCTGGAAAAGATATGTTCGATAGTACGAGTATTATTGCTCATAGAATTTACGAGGAATCCATGGTGAGTGTGGCTTTTCTTATCATATTTATGATCCTTGTATTCTGTGATGTCTCTTCTTTCATTTATTGCGTGCAACTATAAGATATCATTTATAAGTTAAAATAATAGCGATACTTTTTCCACCATTTTTGTTGAAAATAGTTTGTTATATCCGCTTTAAAAAGATAAAAGAAAAAACTAATAATGATTTCTCCGGTGTATAAATGCCAAAAATGGACGTTTTAATTGAATATAAAAATCAGATTACGTCGCTATAGCGCAAAACTAAAGTAAAATTGGAAAGCGTGCACGTGAATTTCACGGTCTTGGTAAGTAAGTTCAAGTGCTCGGACAAACCGGCATTGCCGTAAAAAACTGAACTTGTTATTGCTCGAATCAGGGTTGTCCGTTACTATTCCGTCTGTTTCCTCGTGTACTATTAATTATACAACAATATATGTGAAACTTATTAACTGTGCGCGAAGAAAGCCCACCGACCGACGCGTCGAGATCGTTATTAGACAAATTAAGTGATTTCGCGCGCAATGCGATTCATTAAGAGCGATACGCTAATTAAGGATATACAATGTGAAACATTGCCGTTTTGAAAATCTAACAACTTATTAAAGATTATATAAAATATACACAATTGCAATTTAAAATTTATAGAATTTTTCTTATAAAATTATTATTTTGACTTCTAAAATTTTAATTAATCTAAAATTATTCAATAAGATTAATTAAAGATTATTAATTATTAATTCGATTTATTTATCACTCATTTTCGTCCTTTGAATAATTTTTAATAACGTTAAACATTCAATTTGGATCAATATATTGTTTCTCAACAATACGTGTTTTTTGTAGGGAATTTTTTTTTAAATTTGGTGAAATTTTTTTTAAAATCATATTTTTGAAAAATAAATCGTCGATTACTGACTGAGATCTTCTAAAAAAAGGGACTCCTCCTTATTTCTTGGAAATTTCTTGGATTAAATATTGTATTTTATTAATATTCCTATGCAAAAAGCAAAAATGAGCGATATGTATGTGTCAAATTAATAATTACTTAATAATTATTAATTAATTATTAATTTTATAAGTAATTTTAATTAAATTTTTAGGAGATAAAGAAATAATGGTTTTATAATAGTATAAAAACTTTAGTATAAAAACATGATCTGTTTAAATAGTTGAAGTAAAAACTCGTATATTTGTATTATTTATATTATATACACTGGATGAGTCTGATAAAGTTTACTACATTTTTTTCGAAAACGATTAGAGATAAGAGGAAAACACCTATTATCAAAATTGTAGGATAAGTAGCGGGACATATTTTAATGACTTCAAGTAAATGTTCTTGATTTTTTTACTACCAATCAAATAAGATTTTTTTATGAGAAGGGATATTTTTTAGGGATTATTTTTCTCAGTTCAATTTTAGAATAGTTATTTCGCGAAAAATATTTTTTATTCTTCTTATCATATTTTTTGGAGTGATAAGACGTTGAAAGTGAAGAGTAAAAGAGCTGGCTTACTTTCAATTAATGTCCTATCACTCCGGAAAACAGATGGAAATAATAAAAAATATTTTGCGTGAAATAACAATTCAAGAGTTAAAAAAGGTCAAGTAAGCTTTCCACGAAGACTACGGACACATTTAGATCAACATGAATTTTGAGCACTTATTGCAATAATAAAAAATGTGTTTCAAATTTATAATCTGACTTCTTTTAGTTTATATCTTGAAAATAGTTTTCGAAGAAATACTTTACAAAGATATTCGCTGATTGAGTACTATCGATAGAAGGTTTAAAAAATACCTCTTTCTATTAAAAAAAATCTTTTTTTAATTGGTAGTAAAAAACATTTAAGATTACTTAAGGCCATCAAAGTATGTTGCCCTACTTATCTTGTATAATTTTGTAATAATAGGAGAATCTTTCTCTTATAAGATTTTGTCAGCAATTATGTAGAATAAAAAATCTTGTAAATTTAAAAAATTTTAGAACATTACAAAATTGATATATGTATATCAAGGATTCAAGACTCGATATAAATTTTCTCATTATTTTTGAAAAGTGTGTATAAAAAAATCTGAACAATTTTCTAAAAAGTTAAATTATTCAGCAATGATTCAGAAATTCCGAAAATTCTGAAATTTATATAAACATTCAATAAAATTTTATGGAAGATTCTGAGAAAAAATTTCACAAGATTTTATTACAATTTCTTTAGGTTATACGTTATTTTGTTATCGTCAAGTTCCTCTTCATTGAATAAAATTGAATGACAGCAAGCTGTCAAACAGAAAATCAATGTTCTGATGAGGAATTATTTCAATACGTGACAACCCATCACATTTTGTCAGGTGGAAATAAGATAGAAAAATATTAGACGAATACTTTTATTTCGAAATAAACCAGTTTTATGAAAATACATTATCATAAATATCAATTCTTTACGACTGTTTTAATGTATTTAATTATACAATAAAGGTACTTAGTTTCTACTTTTCTTACTTTTAATAAAATCGATTTCGTATTATCGATTGTCTATACTTTTATTTTGATATAAACCGCGTTTTTACAGAATTATATTACTGTAAATATCAATTTTTTACGATTTTTACTTTTTTAACGTAGTTTATAATGTGAGTACAAAAGACTTAACTGCTATTTTCCTTACTTTTAACAAAATCTGTTTTGTTAGTCACTGATTTTGATATCATTCCCAAATACACATTCTTTCTTCCTATTCGTTTCATATGAATTTGATCTTGAGCTTTTCCCGTAACGGGTTTAAATCTAACCTTGCAATGTGCGTAAGTCATACATATCATGCACATAAATTATAAAAATTCTCGGACGGATTTAAATGAGTATAACATTTTCTACGTGATTGTGAAACATTTCTCGAGGTTAAAATTGAATGAAATTTATATTACAACGTAGTGGCAAATATGTATAAATCAATACTTCAGACATGCGCGGTTACATCGTAATTTCAATGCCATCAAATCACTCTTTTTTAAAGAGATGGGCAAGATGCCTTTGTGCGGTTTCGCAAATCGTCAAACGAAAAATGAAATAAATAGAGAGAACTGCTTTTGTGTTTTTAAAAGCAAGTGATTTTTTTACGCTGCTGTTTTTAAGTGCAATATTACACAATATTAAGTGCAATTTTAAAATAAAGCTACAAAACTTATTCTTATTAAAATATCTATAATAATGTGCTTTTTATATAAAAATAGTTTTTTATATAAAAAGCCCATTATTATAGATATTTAAATAAGAATAAGTAATTAAAAAATATCAATTTTTAAAAAGTACTTTCAAACTTTTGGTCTGGAGTATCTGTAATAAAAATAATATCAGACATTTTTTTGTGTCAGGAAATGAATCAATATTCCTCGGTAATTTCAATAAACTTATATATTTATCGCAGTATATTAAACATGTATAATCCTAAACCCTCCTATAATCTAATTTTAGAGTTTTACATGAAAACTCTTTGTACGTAAAAGTGACCTCAGTTTTTCTGTTTATTGCTGACGGCCAATGATCAATTGAATCCACCTGGAGGTTTGAACTTGTAAACATATTTCGCTGTCACATTGACTAGCAGACTGATTGCCGCGCGACTAATGCTTCTTAGCGAAACGCCCGATTCGTTGCTATTTACACGATGCGATGGCTGAGCTAATAATGCTTCTCGTAGTCATAGCTGTTAAAGTGCGCCGGTGAGACGTACTTGACAATCGGCACCGGTTTTGGATGTATCGCCGGTCCGACTTTCTTGACGACGGCATTGAATCCGTTGTGATCGTCCGCGGTATATTCGACGATGCGTACACTTCCGTCGGGTTCGTTCACGCTGTACGAGCCGTGAACAACATCGCCGTCCCGCACCTCATGCTGGGTTTTCACGTCACCGGTATGAGGATCATGAACGCCGTAATTGAAGGTGTACTTCGGGTGTGACTGTAACAAGTACACGCAAGTGTTGTTATGTGCGAGTTCACCACAAATTAACCGTGAACATTCCCTAATGTCGAAATGGGTGCATAGAGTTTTAAGGTGCGGTCCGCTTAGTGGATTAGCTGCAAATGTTTCCAAGCATTTGATCAGTCAGAAAAAAGAATTTCATTAATTGATCAATTAAGACAAGGAATGCTTTAAAACGTTGTTATTGTAGCATCGAATAGTGCCTTAGCTGTTTAACATACACGCAACGGGCGTTGTTTGTTTTATAAATATTTTCCGATATTTCCGTGCAACTTAAAAATTGCTGGCAGATGCATAACGATATTGACTTTTGAGGTCGTAGGAAATATATACGGAAAATGTTTTGTTAAAGTATTTAAAATTTTAATTTGATACAGATCTGAAAATAATTTGTTAGACCATCAAAATAATTACGTAGAACGCTTGAGTTATTGGATAATCAGTATAAATTTCAAAATTTTTTTGCAGCGTTGTTCATTATTCTTGAGCGTCTTGTGTAATTATTTTAATATTTCAATAAAATTTGGTGCGGGTCTTTATTTAGTCAATTTTAAATATCTCAGCAAAAATTGTTCTTTCCTGTATTAAGCGTACGTGAAACAGAATTAATTTTCAAAAGAATAAAAAGTAAATTAAAAATTAAGAAAAGAAATCCTTATAAAATAATTTAAAAAGGTAAATTAATTTATCTTGCCGATGTAATTTAATATAACGAATAGTTATATACAAGGTAGTATTTTTTATCACAAACTTTTTATTAAAAAATGTTGCGATTTCAATTTTATATTAAATTATTCAATAAATCTGGTTCGCAACTATGTAATGAAGCTGGTGGAGCACTTTCGAGCGCTTTCGAGTCCCGACTACGGATACTACAATTATTCGCACACATAATGTGCGACGTTCTCTCATTTTATGATATTACTTGCGGAGCGCCGCTTTTAGTGACAATTAACATCGCGAGAAAGCGACGACAATGAGGATTGCGGAAAGAGATTTGACAATAAGATACAGCGAGGACAGAGGAAATACACCATTGTCTACACACATACGTTACTTTTCAAAGAGACAGGAATTTAAATTAACATATACCTCAGGCGTCTGGAAACGCAAGACTTGACGAACACAACTCTTGACACTTTTCTGAAGAAAACGTGCGGGAATTTGTATTATTTACATTAATGTTATTTAAATTGAAACTGTTGAAGCTATGAGAGAAATAGGTGGTTTTCCTCTTGAAATTAAATATGCCGCTTACAATATTTGTTGCAAATATTATTAAGTTCCGTTACTGTTATGAAAGTGAAATTTTTAGAAATTTTGTAGAAATTAAAAAAAATCATTGAATAGTTTCACACGAGATATATCGATATATGCTCTCAGCAAGAAAAGGCTAAAGAATATCGGCTAACGAAAGAATAGGTAAATATATCAGCTATAAAAATTATGAAATTTCTAAAAAGAATATAAAAAAATTAATAGTAATTATAAGTTTCAAAACTAAGCTAATTGTTTAATAAAAAGTTTGTGATAAAAAATTGATAAGAAGATATATGTATAAGTATTGAAGATAACAATTCTTTGATAACAATTCGACTTGGGTGAAACGCATATTTCCTCTGTTTTTGCCAATCTTCGTTAGCAACAGTCAGGAGTAAAAAGATACTTACGTAATAATCGTGATCTTGATCGGTGTGATGTTTGTAGTCGTGTAGTTCATGAGCGTTCAGAGATGCATCCAGAGATGCGTCCACGTGTAACGGCGCAGCGGATACCGCGTGTATCGGAACCGCGACCGTCGGCAGAACTTTGTATCCGGCGGATCCAATGTATGCATCGAGATCGCTGTAATCACCGTAGGACAGGCCATGGCCGCCGTTGTAACCGCTGAGAACCACCGCGTGGCTACACGCCAGCGCGGCACAGAGGAAAGCGACCGTCTGAAAACCACAATTCGCGATCGTAAATCTCTTCTGTGGGAAAACAAGATTGTTAATATGCGAAGTCGTGTCAAGGATTTGATAGTTTCTTTTAAATTCCTCTACGGCGTTGAGAGGTGTTTTCTTCTTTTTCCTTTTTTTTTTTCGACATCTTCTAAAAGTTTTCTCTCGTCTAGAGCGCCGCGCTTCGTGCAATATATTTAAAAGCATCCCAAGTATAACAGCGAATAATCGATAATCCCCATGCAACGCAAGCGATTTTCATTAGTCACTTGTCAATATGGGATTCTTAGATGATGCGACGCTCGCTGGGTACTCATGTATATGGAAAATCATTGGGTGATTTATTGGAAAAGTCCCTCTCCCAAGTAAGACGCGCTTCTCGAATTTCGATGTTTCGTTAAAATCTCGGATTGGAAATCCTGTCGATGCGGACATCGTCCCCTTTTCACTTTCACGCCGACCTTGTTATTCGCGCGCAGACCAATAGATCGTAAGTCAACGAAACGCCGCGCCGCGGAAGTGTGGTTAAGAATTTCGCTTCCTTATCCGTTGCGATGAAAATGATACATCGCGAATAAAAGGTTTATTACACCCTCCCCTCGGCACGAATGTTCATGCCTAAGAAAGTTGACGCTGTAGATTATGGTATTTTGAACCGTAAACCGGAGGATTGGGAAGAAGAGAAATCTCATTTGATCGGAAGCTGAAAAAGTCACAATTGGGAATGTATATACTATTAATACATATAGTAATATTGGGTCAATGCAGTGTATCTAAAAAATTTTCCAAAATCAGATTGTTTTTAAATAATTATTTAAAGAAAATAAATATATACGTATATGTATATCGTTCCTTTACTTCAAAAATGAGATAAATGACTAGAAAGAAAAAAAACATGATTTACCATGAATGCGTTATATAAATATTATTTCATCAATTATCAAAAGTGAACTAACTTGACTTTACAAAAATCGTTAAAAGTTAGTTAAAATCGTTAATAGCTTAAAAAGAACGATTTAAAAAAATCATTCTTTATGAAAGAATATTATATAATTTCTTAAGAATTTTGTGAAACACCTTTAAAAAAGGGTGGTTTTTTAGGAATGAAAAACAAAAAATGATATTTAATCGCATATAGAAATACATTCTTTTCAAGTCGCAAAATATTTTTTTTCCTTTTGGAAAACTTAAGGTTTTAAATTGTGTCACTTTTGAAGTAAGAGAGTAAAATATAAATTGTACATAGCTTTACAAATATAATGCTAAATAGACGATCTAATAATCTAAAGATATTTTTAATAAAGTGTATTTATTTCTAATTAACAAATTAGAAATTACGTAGACCTCATTACTAAATGCTAATAAGTGATTTTGTAACTTATGACAGCCAAAGCAAAAGAAAAGAAGACATGAAAAATAAAATTGAAAAAAGATTATTTCTTCTAAGTAAAACTTGAAAGAGGGAGAGAGTAAACCTCTAAATCAACTATTCACTAGTTCAGAACAGCTCAAAAAGCGATTGTGGAATTATCTCTCTTAACGGAAAGGTCTATATAGATAAGACTTCGCTAGTTTCGTGTAATGTTCGACAGTATTATTATATTAGGCGCCCTATAGCAAGCGAGAGAAAGACAAATAAGAGAGATTCACTCGGATGATAAATGGGGCACCGGAAGTTCTCTTGAACATTGCCGACAGGAAAAGGCGACGCACACTCTCACACGATCTCCTCACACCCACTCTCGTCATACCACACTCGTATTGCGGCAGGCCTTCTCTCTCCGTACCTTGAGCATGATGCTTCCACAATGTTTCCGCTCACACCACGTTTACCGTATGCGAGACCGTCGAGCGCGAAGTCACTGATAGCATTATTCCCGGACGATGGGCTTATATTCATCTCCCACCTCGGGATGGCTCCGTTCCGGGCAAAAGCTCTCGGCCTCGGGTGCCACCACTCGCTCTTTCAGACCAGGCTGTACCCTACCCCTGCGAATCTTTTTATGTATGATATGAGAAAATACATGGTACGATCCACGTGCTTTCGACCACGGTGGCACACGTCGGCACAAGTTCTTATACGAATTACTTGTACGAAAATTCTCAAAGAGAATCGGCCGTCATGCTTTCGATTTAATCGAAGGAGATGATCAAAAAGTTGATATTTGTTACAAAATTACTAATTTAGATTAGAGAGGGATATAGAATTGCCTGTGCTGCTCACAGAAATCACTCTTACGAATCTTGTTCGGTTATTCATTAAAGATGCAGTGGATTGATTCAGCTAACAGAGTCGATGTTGAAAAGAGGAACTGTTGGCGAATAAACATTATTTCTCGAATTGTTTGCTTCGCAACTACGTTCGTGAAATTTGGACATTTATTCTCAAACAGCGGAAGATAGCCAAGTGAACGTGAAATTGACTGGAAATGTCATAATAGATTTGATAATCAATTTGAAAAAAAAAAGATTTAGTTGCAATAACGTTATCTCCATTAATCCCTTTTTCAAAAAGAAAAATTATTTATGTTTAGCAGAAAATTATTAATTAAGTAAAGATTTGTTTTATATTTATATTTAAAATTCTTTCTGTTTGAAACTAAAAATGGAAATTCGTATTGAATATTTCTTTCTATACTGCAAAAAAATATAAGTATAAATAATAAAAATAATATTATACTACAAATATATGTATATACATAATATTTTACTATTAATTTTACTAATATAATGAATATGCTGTACTAATGTTGAATGTGAAATATTAAATAAAGTAAATCTGATGTATTAAAATCCAATTTATTTGCATAAGACAAATTTAAATGAAAAAGAATTCAAATACGAAAAATTCAGTGTCGGATATAATTTAAATCCATCCGAAATTAACAACGTAGATTTATTATCTCTTATTATTCGGTTTAATTATAAATTACAGCATAGAGGCTACATGGAAAAACAGTCGATTGCTTATGCATCATTGTTACTGCGCGCGTAAACGTTACGTCATGTCTTAGCGTAACAAAGCAGATGCTCTCACTCTTTCACTCTCACTCTCTCTTTTTCTTTCTCCCTCTTCACGTATTCGTAGCCAAATTAATATTATCCTTTTTATGAAATCGCTCACGCATTTTTCTCCGCAGAGAGAATGCATAACTAATGTGGGAAATTTATGCCAAATTCCTTTGGCCGCGAAATAAAACCGGACTGCACGTTACAGAACATCTTGAAGAGAAAGGATATATTCATTACGAAAAACTTGGTGCCGCATCTTACTTTGTTTTAACAAAATTTTTACACGTAAATGAACTTTTACTAAATTAACCGTCATAAAATTTTATAAATTAAGTCTTCTAAAGTTTAAAAGTAAATCGATAAGCAGAAAGTTTTGCACCTTATGTTGTTATGTTTCTGATTTCATATATGTATGTTTTTTTGGTACGAGATAAATTAGTGTTTAACGTATGATTGAATAATCCAAATGAACATATATAATGAATGAAAAAGTATTCTTGCAAGAATGATTTTTGTAAGAAAAAATCTTATCTGATGTAAAAAATAAACATTAATTAGCAATTTATTAACAATAAGTACATTCTATCCTAATATAAATAAAAAAAGAGCTTAAGGAAAATAACTGTGTTCATGATCTTAAAAACTAAATTTCTCGACTACGAATACTTTTTGTGCGTTAAATTTTTTATGTTTGCTTATTAAAATGAAATATAATTTAAATGTAATTATTATATATTTAATATTTTAATTATTATATATTTTTTTAAGTAAAATAATTTGAGAAATATATAATCCATTTTATTCTTTATTAATAAATTACCAATTAATGTTTATTTTCTAAAAATAAGATTTTTTAAAGGATATATTTTTCTTGTGTAAAATACTTTTTACATTCATTACATTATTGTTATTTTACATTATTAACTATAATGTATAAACTGTATCCTTATATAAGAAACTTAAATTTCAAATATTTCCAGTTTTAGCTGATAAAGGCGTGGTAGCTTCAGTTCTATTCTGCAATTCTTGACAAAGCCCGTTTGCTTCGCAATGAGCAATAGTACTTCTTTGCGCATGTAACGTACACATCATTGACGTTCCATGACACGATCCGCAACTGTCTTAAAAAAAAAAAGAAAAAACAGTTGGTCCCGCCCGAATGATTACTGGCACGATCTATTTGGATCAAGATCATAAATGACAAAACCTTTCGATCTCAGTCCAAATTCTTTTGTTGCGCATTTATGTAATATCGTGTCGGACTTATTGTTCAATATTTCTCTGAGAAAGAGAGAGTTGAAATTTATTGTTTTAGTAATTGCTTATATGAAATGCGTGGTATATTGATTGTGGCAATCATTTATTATTTAAAGTATATATTTCGTATGTCATATTTTATTTTAACGGTATTTTTATATAGAATTTTTTTTCAAGGATATATAAAAATAAAATTTGCTTTAGTTATGCTTGTGTAAAGTTATAAACGACCAATCGACTCGACTACGATTTGATGTAATCGCGTACGATCAAAATGCAATTTTGCCAACACATATTTCATTCGCAATTAAGACGTACCACAGCAAAATGTATTCGTATACCAAATGTACAAATGTGTATCTTGATGCATAAATCGGTTGTATACTAAAGAAAACATATTAAAAATTTATTTTTGTATGTTGTATGTGTGAGATAATATTCACTGAAATAAATCCTTATTTAAATACGACGAAATGAAAAATTTTATTTCTAGCAAATAAATTATCTATTTTATTTCTTTTACACAGAAATATATATTTCGTCGTCACATTCAAATTTTTTTATAATCAATGAAGATCAAAGAAAATGTCACATGTAACATACATGCTTGTGAATAAATAATTATAATTACTATATAACTTATAGTAAAACATTTTCTTTAATTTATGATCAAATATAATTATTATTACTAATATTATAGCAGTAATATTTATAAAAATGAAACATCTAATTATAATTATTTTACCATGTCAATTTTGTCTCGAATATCAACACTTTTTTCTTAGTAATTACTTAGTAATTGTGAAAAATACCACAATAAGCAAAAAAGAGTGAGCGATATAGCTCAAAATGTCATAAGTTTATCGTGCAATTGGCAATTCCACTATATCATAAGATTTATATTTAAATTAAAGCTTATAATTATAATTAAAATTTTTTACAAAGTCGAATTGCTGATATCTTTATGATAACTTATTTATAGAGTTTGTGAAGAAAAAATTTTCAAGAAAATGATTTCTTTCTTTCTACTGAAAAATTAAAAAAAAATGATATTTGCAATATTTTGTTTTGATACGCCTCAATTAAACACAGTAACAGAAATATACGAAACTCAGATAGGTTCTTGTTATTTAATCTTTGCTTTCCGTTCATCATAAGTTCAGCATAAGTTGAATACGTAGGGCTTTAAAATCACTAATTTAGAGCAATGAGCTCTAAAACCTCGAATTTTATAGTTTAAAATTCGGACTTTTTTTCAATATTAATATTATAATTTCTCACCGTAAATTTCAATTATTTAGTATAACATTTAACGCTTTTATATACCCAAAAGTTGCTTCCACAAATAAAAGATTCAAATAGTTACAAAATATACTTAATATTAATTTGTATGTTTATTACATCACAATATTGAAACATAATATAATCGGTATAATATATAATAATATTAATATATAATATATAATGAAACATTCGGTGTCAAATAACTAATAAATTATTACATCACAGCTCACAGTGATGAACATACAAAAACTCGAATTATCTGTGAGTAGGCATCGCATAGGACGCCGGGAAGTAGAAGTTCACTTACGACAATGCTTGCGCAACTGTTATTAAATGCTACGAGTACAATTAAAAATCATAAAAATCATGAACCATTTCGAAAAATCCTCCCGGATGCTCCTGGACAATCTGCACAAATCAAAACTAGGACAAATCCGGAGAAATTCGAACGGATGCTATCCCTAAATCTGTATAATGTACGATCCAGATTAACTGAGTCGCCCTAAGTATCATCGTCACGCTCGCGTTGATGTTTTGCAATTCGCGAAGCGCGGAGTCGCGCTCTAATTTGAGATTTTCGTATGGTGCATTAATAAGCCGCGGCCCATTTCTTCGTTGTTATTTACCGTTGTTTTCTACCAATGACATTGCTGGATGCGTAATTAAAGGTTGTCTATTTCCGCGGACGATTTTGTTAACCGTCAAGTTATTATCACTATCTTTCGACTTCGAGCCAACCCGTTTCTTACGCGGTCGCTTATTACTCGACAACGGCTAGGCTATGGCAATAAGATTTCATAAGGGATTCTGACTGAATTAAGTTCGGTCGTCTCTTCTCTGTTTAAACGTCTTTCAAAGACATGACAATGATAATAACGACAATAACAGTACAATAATAACAAAAAGAAAAAAACGCGTTGCGAAAGAGTTCTTTTATATACATATAATTTATTTCGAACATTTTAATAGTTTTTGAACTTATTTGTGATGAGTGAAATCATGATTGTGTAGTAATTTGTAGAGAGAAATTTATATTAAGTATCTTAGCTGATAAAAATTCTGCCAAGTCATTAAAGAAATAAAGGCTCATACATAGGCTTTAACATAAATCAAATCTAAATATAAGAAACAAACGTCGATAAAAGCCAATACGGATATCAATTATTGACAAAATATTTATTATTTGCAGTAAGTTACATGTAGTAAGTTACACACAATAAGTATAAATGAGTAAGTAATAAATAAATACAAAAATGAAAATTATGTTTTGTCTTTTTTTTTCAAAATGAAACAAAGCTAGAATATT